TTCGTATATTATATCTTCTTATAATGACTGTTCTTATAATACGTCTTCTTATAATTAATGTTCGTATATTATGTCTTTATAATGACTGTTCTTATAATACGTCTTCTCCATAATTAATGTTCGTATATTGTGTATTTCCTAATGACTGTTCTTATAATAGTCTTCTTATAATTAATGTTCGTATATTATGTCTTCTTATAATGACTGTTCTTATAATACGTCTTCTTATAATTAATGTTTCGTATATTATGTCTTCTTATAATGACTGTTCTTATAATACGTCTTCTTATAATTAATGTTCTTATAATGGTTAATTAATGTTTCTTCTTATAATGACTGTTCTTATAATACGTCTTCTCATAATTAATGTTCGTATATTATGTCTTCTTATAATGACTGTTCTTATAATACGTCTTCTTATAATTAATGTTCGTATATTATGTCTTATAATGACTGTTCTAATGACTGTTCTTATAATACGTCTTCTTATAATTGTGGTCGTATATTATGTCTTCTTATAATGACTGTTCTTATAATACGTCTTCTTATAATTAATGGTCGTATATTATGTCTTCTTATAATGACTGTTCTTATATTACGTCTTCTCATAATTAATGTTCGTATATTATGTTTTTATAATGATGACTGTCTTCTTATAATTACGTCTTCTTCTTATAATTTCTTATAATACGTCTTCTTATAATTAATGTTCGTATATTATGTCTTCTTTATAATGACTGTTCTTATAATACGTCTTCTCATAATTAATATTCGTATATTATGTCTTCTTATAATGACTGTTCTTATAATACGTCTTCTTATAATTAATGTTCGTATATTATGTCTTCTTATAATGACTGTTCTTATAATACGTCTTCTCATAATTAATGTTCGTATATTATGTCTTCTTATAATGACTGTTCTTATAATACGTCTTCTCATAATTAATGTTCGTATATTATGTCTTCTTATAATGACTGTTCTTATAATACGTCTTCTCATAATTAATGTTCGTATATTATGTCTTATAATGACTGTTCTTATAATACGTCTTCTCATAATTAATGTTCGTATATTATGTCTTCTTATAATGACTGTTCTTATAATACGTCTTCTTATAATTAATGTTCGTATATTATGTCTTCTTATAATGACTGTTCTTATAATACGTCTTCTTATAATTAATGTTCGTATATTCATGTCTTCTTATAATGACTGTTCTTATAATACGTCTTCTTATAATTAATGTTCGTATATTATGTCTTCTTATAATGACTGTTCTTATAATACGTCTTCTTATAATTAATGTTCGTATATTATGTCTTCTTATAATGACTGTTCTTATAATACGTCTTCTCATAATTAATGTTCGTATATTATGTCTTCTTATAATGACTGTTCTTATAATACGTCTTCTTATAATTAATGTTCGTATATTATGTCTTCTTATAATGACTGTTCTTATAATACGTCTTCTCATAATTAATGTTCGTATATTATGTCTTCTTATAATGACTGTTCTTATAATACGTCTTCTTATAATTAATGTTCGTATATTATGTCTTCTTATAATGACTGTTCTTATAATACGTCTTCTCATAATTAATGTTCGTATATTATGACTTTTAATACGTCTTCTCATAATTAATGTGACTGTTCTTATAATACGTCTTCTCACTTATAATTAATGTTCGTATATTATGTCTTCTTATAATGACTGTTCTTATAATACGTCTTCTTATAATTAATGTTCGTATATTATGTCTTCTTATAATGACTGTTCTTATAATACGTCTTCTCGCGATTAATGTTCGTATATTATGTCTTCTTATAATGGACTGTTCTTATAATACGTCTTCTCATAATTAATGTTCGTATATTATGTCTTCTTATAATTAATGACTGTTCTTATAATACGTCTTCTCGCATTTAATGTTCGTATATTATGTCTTCTTATAATGACTGTTCTTATAATACGTCTTCTTATAATTAATGTTCGTATATTATGTCTTCTTATAATGACTGTTCTTATAATACGTCTTCTCATAATTAATGTTCGTATGTTATGTCTTCTTATAATGACTGTTCTTATAATACGTCTTCTTATAATTAATGTTCGTATATTATGTCTTCTTATAATGACTGTTCTTATAATACGTCTTCTCATAATTAATGTTCGTATATTATGTCTTCTTATATTATGTCTTCTTATATAATGTTCGTATTCTTCTTATAATGACGTCTTCTCTTCTCATAATTAATGTTCGTATATTATGTCTTCTTATAATGACTGTTCTTATAATACGTCTTCTTATAATTAATGTTTAAACATATTATGTCTTCTTATAATGACTGTTCTTATAATTATGTCTTCTTATAATTAATAATTAATGTTCGTATATTATGTCATCTTATAATGACTGTTCTTATAATACGTCTTCTTATAATTAATGTTCGTATATTATGTCTTCTTATAATGACTGTTCTTATAATACGTCTTCTCCTAATTAATGGTCGTATATTTGGACGTATATTATGTCTTCTTATAATGACTGTTCTTATAATACGTCTTCTTATAATTAATGTTCGTATATTATGTCTTCTTATAATGACTGTTCTTATAATACGTCTTTCATAATTGATGTTCGTATGTATGTGTCTTCTTATAATGACTGTTCTTATAATACGTCTTCTCATAATTAATCATCGTATATTATGTCTTATATATGACGTTCTTTATAATACGTCTTCTCATAATTAATGTTCGTATATTATGTCTTCTTATAATGACTGTTCTTATAATACGTCTTCTCATAATTATTGTTCGTATATTATGTCTTCTTATAATGACTGTTCTTATAATACGTCTTCTTATAATTAATGTTCGTATATTATGTCTTCTTATAATGACTGTTCTTATAATATGTCTTCTTATAATTGATGTTCGTATATTATGTCTTCTTATAATGACTGTTCTTATAATACGTCTTCTTATAATTAATGTTCGTATATTATGTCTTCTTATAATGACTGTTCTTATAATACGTCTTCTTATAATTAATGTTCGTATATTATGTCTTCTTATAATGACTGTTCTTATAATAATAATCTTCTTATAATTAATGTTCGTATATTATGTCTTCTTATAATGACTGTTCTTATACGTCTTCTCATACGTTCTTCTCTTATAAATTTCTTAATGTTTCGTATATTATGTCTTCTTATAATGACTGTTCTTATAATACGTCTTCTATAATTAATGTTCGTATATGTCTTCTTATAATGACTGTTCTTATAATACGTCTTCTCCTTAATATTACGTCTATTATGACTTCTTATAATGACGTCTTCTTATAATGCGTATTATTCTTTTATAATGATTTGTTATTATGTCTTCTTATACTGTTCTTCAATACGTCTTCTTATAATTAATGTTCGTATATTATGTCTTCTTATAATGACTGTTCTTGCATAATACGTCTTCTTATAATTAATGTTCGTATATTATGTCTTCTTATAATGACTGTTCTTATAATGCGTCTTCTCATAATTAATGTTCGTATATTATGTCTTCTTATAATGACTGTTCTTATAATACGTCTTCTTATAATTAATGTTCGTATATTATGTCTTCTTATAATGACTGTTCTTATAATACGTCTTCTTATAATTAATGTTCGTATATTATTCTTCTTATAATGACTGTTGCTTATAATACGTCTTCTCATAATTAATGTTCGTATATTATGTCTTCTTATAATGACTGTTCTTATAATACGTCTTCTCATAATTAATGTGTTCGTATATTATGTCTCTTATAATGATGTCTTAATACGTCTTCATAATTAATGTTCGTATATTATAATTCGTCTCTCATTCTTAATACGTTTCTCGTATAATTATGTCTTCTATTATGTCTTCTTAATGACTGTTCTTATAATACGTCTTCTCAAATTAATTATATTATGTTCGTATATTGACTGTTCTTATAATACGTCTTCTCATAATTAATGTTCGTATATTATTCTTATAATGACTGTTCTTATAATACGTCTTCTTATAATTAATGTTCTTATTATTATCTCTTATAATGACTGTTCTTATAATACGTCTTCTTATAATTAATGTTCGTATATTATGTCTTCTTAGTTCTTATAATACGTCTTCTTATAATTAATGTTCGTATATTATGTCTTCTTATAATGACTGTTCTTATAATACGTCTTCTCATAATTAATGTTCGTATATTATGTCTTCTTATAATGACTGTTCTTATAATACGTCTTCTTATAATTAATGTTCGTATATTATGTCTTCTTATAATGACTGTTCTTATAATACGTCTTCTCATAATTAATGTTCGTATATTATGTCTTCTTATAATGACTGTTCTTATAATACGTCTTCTTATAATTAATGTTCGTATATTATGTCTTCTTATAATGACTGTTCTTATAATACGTCTTCTCATAATTAATGTTCGTATCTTATAATGACTGTTCTTATAATACGTCTTCTCATAATTAATGTTCGTATATTATGTGTTTCTTATAATGACTGTTCTTATAATACGTCTTCCTCATAATTAATGTTCGTATATTATGTCTTCTTATAATGACTGTTCTTTTATAATACGTCTTCTTGCTAATTAATGTTCGTATATTATGTCTTCTTTAATGAACGTCTTCTCATAATTAATGTTCGTATATTATGTCTTCTTATGACTGTTCTTATACGTCGTCTTCTCATAATTAATCTTCGTATATTATGTCTTTTATAATGACTGTTCTTATAATACATCTTCTTATAATTATTGTTCGTATATTATGTCTTCTTATAATGACTGTTCTTATAATATGTCTTCTTATATTATGTTTCGTATATTATGTCTTATAATGACTGTTCTTATAATACGTCTTCTTATAATTGATGTTCGTATATTATGTCTTCTTAGACTGTTCTTATAATACGTCTTCTCTCACAATTATTGTTCGTATATTATGTCTTCTTATAATACTGTTCTTAATACGTCTATAATTAATGTTCGTATATTATGTCTTCTTATAATGACTGTTCTTATAATACGTCTTCTCATAATTAATGTTCGTATATTATGTCTTCTTATAATGACTGTTCTTATAATACGTCTTCTCATAATTATTGTTCGTATATTATGTCTTCTTATAATGACTGTTCTTATAATACGTCTTCTCATAATTATTGTTCGTATATTATGTCTTCTTATAATGACTGTTCTTATAATATGTCTTCTTATAATTAATGTTCGTATATTATGTCTTCTTATAATGACTGTTCTTATAATACGTCTTCTTTATAATTATTGTTCGTATATTATGTCTTCTTATAATGACTGTTCTTATAATACGTCTTCTCATAATTATTGTTCGTATATTATGTCTTCTTATAATGACTGTTCTTATAATACGTCTTCTCATAATTAATGTTCGTATATTATGTCTTCTTATATTGACTGTTCTTATAATACGTCTTCTCATAATTAATGTTCGTATATTATGCTCCTTTATAATGACTGTTCTATAATACGTCTTCTTATAATTAATGTTCGTATATTATGTCTTCTTATAATGACTGTTCTTAATACGTCTTCTCATAATTAATGTCTGTATATTATGTCTTATAATGACTGTTCTTATAATACGTCTTCATAATTAATGTTCGTATATTATGTCATCTTATAAATGACTGCTCTATAATACGTCTTCTTATAATTAATGTTCGTATATTGTCTTCTTATAATGTGACTGTTCTTATAATACGTCTTTATAATTAATGGTCGTATATTATGTCTTCATAATGACTGTTCTTATAATACGTCTTCATAATTAATGTTCGTATATTTTTGTCTTCTTAAATGACTGTTCTTATACGTCTTCTTATAACACGTTCGTATATTAAGTCTTTATAAATATTCGTTCTTATACGTCTTCATAATTATGTCTTCGTATATTATGTCTTTATATGACTGTTCTTATAATACGTCTTCTATAATTAATGTTCGTATTATGTCTTTTATAATGACTGTTCTTATAATACGTCTTCATAATTAATGTTCGTATATATTATGTCTTATAATGACTGTTCTTATAATATGTCTTCTTATAATTGATGTTCGTATTATGTCTTATAATGACTGTTCTTATAATGTCTTCTTATATTGATGTTCGTATATTATGTCTATAATGACTGTTCTTATAATATGTCTTCTTATAATTAATGTTCTATATTGTATCTTCTTATAATGACTGTTCTTATAATACTCTTCTTATAATTGATGTTCGTATATTATGTCTTCTTATAATGACTGTTCTTATAATACTTCTTATAATTAATGTTCGTATATTATGTCTTTATAATGACTGTTCTTATAATACGTCTTCTCATAATTAATGTTCGTATATTATGTCTTCTTATAATGTGACTGTTCTTATAATACGTCTTCTCATAATTAATGTTCGTATATTATGTCTTCTTATAATGACTGTTCTTATAATACGTCTTCTTATAATTAATGTTCGTATATTATGTCTTCTTATAATGACTGTTCTTATAATACGTCTTCTTTATAATGATAATGTTCGTATATTATGTCTTCCTGATAATGACTGTTCTTATAATATGTCTTCTTATAATTAATGTTGTATATTATGTCTTCTTATAATGACTGTTCTTATAATATGTCTTATTATGTCTTTATAATTGATGTTATTATGTCTTATATTGCGTCTTATTTTTTATTTATAATGACTGTTCTTTAATACGTCTTTATAATTAATGTTCGTATATTATGTCTTCTTATAATGACTGTTCTTTAATACGTCTTCTTATAAAATTAATGTTCGTATATTATGTCTTCTTTATAATGACAGTTCTTATAATACGTCTTCTTATAATTAATGTTCGTATATTATGTCTTTTATAATGACTGTTCTTATAATACGTCTTCTATAATTAACGTAATAATGTTCGTATATTATGTCTTCGTTTTATAATGACTGTTCTTATATATCACGTCTTCTTTATAATTAATGTTCGTATATTATGTCTTCTTTGACTATAATACGACTGTTCTATAATGACTGTTCTTAGTTAATAATGACTGTTCTTATGTTTCTCATATTATAATGACTGTTCTTATAATACGTCTTCTTAACATGACTGTCTTCTGTATAATACGTCTTCTTATAATTAATGTTCGTATATTATGTCATAATGACTGTTCTTATAATACGTTTTCTTATAATGACTGTCTTCTTATAATGACTGTTCTGTCACGTCTTCATAATTAATGTTCGTATATTATGTCTTCTTATAATGACTGTTCTTATAATACGTCTTCCATAATTAATGTTCGTATATTATGTCTTCTTATAAATGACTGTTCTTATAATTAATGTCTTATTATGTCTTCATAATATGTTCGTATATTATGTCTTTATATATGACTGTTCTTATAATACGTCTTCTATAATTAATGTTCGTATATTATGGCCTCTTTTTATAATGACTGTTCTTATAATACGTCTTCTTATAATTAATGTTCGTATATTATGTCTTCTTTATAATGGACTGTTCTTATAATACGTCTTCTTATAATTAATGTATATTATGTCTTCTTATATAATGACTGTTCTTATAATATGTCTTCTTATAATTAATGTTCGTATATTATGTCTTCTGTTCTTATAATGACTAATTAATGGTCGTATATTATGTCTTCATAATACGTCTTCATAATTAATGTTCGTATATTATGTCTTCTTATAATGACTGTTCTTATAATACGTCTTCTTATAATTAATGTTCGTATATTATGTCTTCTTTATAATGACTGTTCTTATAATACGTCTTCTTTATAAATTGATGTTCGTATATTATGTCTTCTAATGATAAATGACTGTTCGTTATAATAATGACGTCTTATACGTCTTCATAATTAATGTTCGTATATTATCTTCTTATAATGACTTTTATAATGAATTAGTTCGTATATTATGTCTATAAATATGGTTCTTATAATAATTAATGTTCGTATAATGTCTTTCTATAATGATTCAATAATTAATGTTTTATAATGACTGTTCTTACGTCTTTATAATTAATGTTCGTATATTATGTCTTCTATAATGACTTTATAATGTCAGTTATTGGTGTCTTATATAATGACTGTTCTTATACTCATAATTAATGTTTCGTATATTATGTCTTCTTATAATGACTGTTCTTATAATACGTCTTCTTATAATTAATGTTCGTATATTATGGGTCTTCTTATAATGACAGTTCTTATAATACGTCCCTATAATTAATGTTCGTATATTATGTCTTCTTATAATGACTGTTCTTATAATACGTCTTCTCATAATTAATGTTCGTATATTATGTCTTCTTATAATGACTGTTCTTATAATACGTCTTCTTTATAATTAATGTTCGTATATTATGTCTTCTTATAATGACGTTCTATAATACGTTCTTATAATATGTCGTATTTATAACTGTGATGTCTTCTCGTATATTATGTCTTCTTATAATGACTGTTCTTATAATACGTCTTCTCATAATTAATGTTCGTATATTATGTCTTCTTATAATGACTGTTCTTAATACGTCTTCTCTACACTACGTTCGTATATTATGTCTTCTTATAATTATGTTCATAATAATGTTCGTATTATGTCTTCTTTATAATACGATGTCTGTTATTATGTCTTCTTATAATACGTTCTTCTTATAATTACTGTTCGTATATTATGTCTTCTTATAATGACTGTTCTTATAATACGTCTTCTCATAATTAATGTTCGTATATTATGTCTTATAATGACTCTTATAATACGTCTTCTTAATTAATGTTTCGTATATTAGCCTTATAATGACTGTTCTTATAATTATCTTCTAATTAATATTATATTATGTCTTCTAATGACTGTTCTTATAATACGTCTTTATAATTACGTTCGTATTATGTCTTCTTATAATGACTGTTCTGTTCTTATAAATTATGTCTTCTTATAATGACTGTTCGTATATTATGTCTCTATATTATTGTTTCTTATAATGATCGTCTTCTTATAATTAATGTTCGTATATTATGTCTTCTTATAATGACTCTTCTTATAATACGTCTTCATAATTAATGTTCGTATATTATGTCTTCTTATAATGACTGTTCTTATAATACGTCTTCTTATAATTATTAATGTTCGTATATTATGTCTTCTTATAATGACTGTTCTTATAATGACTGTTCTTATACGTCTTCTTTAATTAATGTTTATAACGACTGTTCTTATATTTCTATAATTAATGTTCGTATATTATGTCATAATGACTGTTCTTATAATGACGTGTTCTTATAATTAATGTTCTTATACGTCTTCTATAATTAATGTGTCTTCTTATAATGAATGTTCTTATAATACGTCTTCTTATAATTAATGTTCGTATAATGTTCGTGACTGTTCTTTATAATAATGTCTTCTCGTCTTCATAATTAATGTGTCTGGTAATTTCATATTGTCTTATGTTCGTTTCTTTTTTATATAATGACTGTTCTTTTTTCTTGATGTTCGTATATCTGTTATATAACACGGTTCTCATTTGCATATTTAATTTTTTCTTAAACGACTTTCTTTTAATACGTCTTCCTTGTTCGTAACCCAAGACGCACTTTTTTTTTAAATTTGGTAATTATGACGTAATGTTTGAAATGTTCGATTAACATTTTTTTAAAATTTTAATGATTTGATCATTCGGAACTGATTAAAAAATGATTCAATAGTTTAACATATTCATATTTTAAGTAACATATTGATGACTTTATTTAGATTATCATACTAATATTACTAATTTTCTAATTGAACTCACTATATTGATTAACCTTTTACTATATCTAGTTTGAGTAATATATTGATAATTTTAACATCATACATAATTGTTTTAATCAAATGACTGTTCTCTTCGGTTTTGATTATCATTATGTCCGATGTGCATTGATTGATTAACATATAGAGCTTTCTACATCAATTAAATATTGATCTTCTTTTTTTATTAATATATTGATATTTTAGTTTGATCAGTATTCTAATGACTCTCTTTATAATATGGTTTGATTATCGTTCTTATAATGATCTTCTTTTAACGATGTTCGTATATTAACATATTGATTTCTTTTTAGATAATTGATGTTCGTATATTGATCACCCTAGCCTGATTATCTTATTGATCTTATTCGATTAACATGTTCATCTTTCTAGTATAACAGATTGAAATTTATAGTTTAGTTAACATATTGATCTCTGTGGTTGTATTTAAATATTGATCTTTGTAGTTTAATTTATTGATCTCTGTAGATAGAATATCGACCGCTCTAGTTTAATCAGCATATCGATCTCTATAGATTGATGGACAATGCTGTTGC